ACTCGCGAAAGATTTCGGCGAATATAAAAAGCTTATGCTTAGTACATATTTATAACTGCGGCTTTGTAACCGTTGAAGTGATCTTTAGCCGAGCTTAAAATTAACTTTTTTTTTTTAAATTGAAACGAATTTTTTATAATTTTGGTTGTTAGTCATGCAATGGCATGGGCTCAGGGCCATCAGCTACTGCGACACGCGAACAGAACGAAAATTTCCTGTTATAGTAAAAAGGTGACATTGGCTAGCCAACCAGATCTCCAGACTTTACTTCCACCAATTTCTTTACTTGGAGTTTTTCGAAAAGCAAAGTACACCCCAGCAATCTTCGGACCACTGACAAGGTCTTGGCAAACACTCGCACCGAAGTCATCGTGTATCCCGAGAAATGCTCAAAAAATTAATGGAACGCGCAGCAAAGGAGTTCATTTTGCTGTAGGCAATAAAGGCGGCCACGTGATTGATGTTGTGTTAAAAAAATTAAAACAGGAAAGAAAATATAGAAATTAAATTTTCATTAAAGTTATGCAATGTCTCACACCGAATCACTCTCTATTTGATGCCAGTTTACTTATGTATGTGCGAGCAATGATGTTAGATTACAAATATAATTAACCAACTTGTTTATTAAGTGCCACATACCTACTTAATGGCTTAATATACACACATATATATGCGAAATCCTCGCGTGAATAATAAACAGTTGAATTAATTTTATGCACGTATAAGTAATTAAATATTAAAAATAAAACTAAAATAATATGAAACTTCTTAGTGATACCTGATATGTGCGTAGAACACAAATACGATAGTTCTTGGTTCGTAAAACAAAATTGTTTTTTTAAATTTTTGCTTTTGAATAATTAATTTTATTCTGTAGCCATTTTTGCAATAGTGAGGGCGATAAGTCGGTTGGGAAAAGTATATAATTATTATATGTATAATTCCTATAAGTCATAAAAGCTCTTAGCTTAAACACTTCCAAGAGCTTGTCAAACATGCTTTAATTTCCCACGTTCTTTCAGCCGAGTTGGTCTGCAGCGCCCAACCTAAAATACACTAACTTAGACAGTGAAAAATGCGAAAGTTGCTCGTGTTCAGTGGAAGTGTATGCGTATAGAGACGTAGAGGTGTGTGCATTCTTCCAGTAGTTTTATCTGGTAGTTTGCGTTGACGGCAAAGAAACCTGCCTTTGAAATCACAGCAGCTTTTATCTTCATTAAAACAAAAACATCTCACGTGGAGGGTAAGTGGCAAAAGGTGTGAAAGCTGCAGCAAGTAGCTCATAAATACATTTATCATTGCTCCTTCTACTATCATCAACAGTCATCATTTAGTTCGTTATTGTCGCCCTCCTTATTAATACAAGCTCATTAAAAGCAACAACTCTCGCTACAAACCTGCCATCAACTTGTGCCACAGAGTCGTTGTATAAGTCGTTGAACGCATAATAGAGTTGCCGCTGATATGCTAGTTACGAGGTCGCTTCAAGTTGCCAAGCACACACACACACATACGTGTATGTACATACAATGCTTTGGTGCTGCGTCAACCGCTCAGCCGCACATTAACAGCTTGCTGAAGTCACCAACTTCACTGATATTTGCTGCCATATGCGCGCGGGACTCAAGACGCAAACGAAGTAGTAACACGCAACGTCCTTAAGTTCCACTCCCCTAACTCGTTTCCTGCGCCCGTCATCTCAGACTCATGCCGCCCAACTTACTTTCACTGCTGGCTGCTGTGAATTCTCTCACATTAACCTCGTTTTTAAGGGTTCGACGGCATCACTTGATTATTCTAAGATATCCAGCCTACTTAAAATGCAACTGTCTTCGCTTCACACCTTTCGCGTGGGTTTGTGGTGCTTCTGAAGCAGATTCTTTCGAAGCCTTCTTTTGCTTGTAATTATACTTCTACTCAACCCAAGATGTGGATGAGTAGGAGAAACATTTCTTTGTATCCTTTCCCATTCTGCTGTGCTCCTTTTCTTCACTTCCTTCTCCTTCGTCGGCACTAATTTGAATGCGTTGAAAATCTGTGTATGTGTGAGTGTATGTTGTAGGTTGAACAAGGTGTATATTTGTACTCGTATATAGTTAAAGTGTAAAATTGTGTGTGCTTGGTCTGCCCAGCGTTTGTGGCGCTACTTGATTACAAAAATTATGAGCTGTGTGAAAATTCTCATTTTAATTACAAAAATACGCAGCTTGGGCATGCATACATACACACTCACTTAATTATAATGACACTTAAATTTATTTACATATTTATAAAAGTGCGCTGGAGTGTAATGCGTCTTAGAAATGCTTAAGAAAAATTTAGCTCCTCTGGGCGGTGTATAAATATAAAAATAATTTGAGTTTGACTGCTTTTTTGTGGCAAACTGTAAAAGTACGTGCCGCATTCAGTTGATTTATTGAGGTTAATTAAAGCGCTGAAATAATTTTTTTTTAATATTTCATTCTATAAAGTTTGAGTACTTTTTTATAATATACGCCTAAAAGTATGCAACTTAACTTCAACAATTCATACAGTCGTGTGCGAATGGAAAGATGCAAATTTATTATGAACTAAACCGTCTTTGGAGGAAGAAAATTGGTTGAACATAAGGGCAGTTAAGAGTTGATGTGACTGCATAGATTTATTAGGCATAATTCAACTCTATCAACCCCACCAGAACTCATGAGGGTTCGGTTGTTTACCATTAAGCCTGAATGGAATTAAGCCGCCAAAAAAGTGACAGTCCCATAGACAGGAAAAATCTGAGCCAACTCCGATGCGAAGAACCGGCTTCTAAGCCGTGTTTGTTAACCCATCTACAATGACAACTACACTCTGTGTTCAAAAACAAAAAAGGAAAATAATAAATCGCAAAATCTTTGAGCCGAAAATTTTGAAAACTTGTGGAATCATTTGTGCAACATTAAGAAAATTATATCAGAACTCTACCTAAATGTTAAATCCGACAGACAAATTTAAACCTTCTGCGCTTAAGTGCCACCTACTCCTTGCCTAGTAGGGAAGAATGACCGGATGGTGGACCCAGCGGAATCAGTCAATATATTCATTTTCTATACTAATGGGACTGAATGCGAGGTGAGCACAGGAGCTGTTTTCTTCCGTGACCACCCTAATAACCAAGGTAACCTCAAACTCAATGACCACAACTTCTTCCAAGCGGTGGGTATTACACGAAAATCTAGCAGGTTTTTGATAGACAGTCAAGCGGCTATCACGTCAACACAGAGCCCGAATGTGCAAAGAGAAAATTAATAGATTATTGCTGGAAAACACAGTGATTATCACTTTGGTCCCGGATCACAGGTCGTGGAATGCAGAAGGCAATGAAAAGTCCAATGAGCTGGGTCGCGTTGTAACCATCAACTGCAGTGGACCTGGAAGACGACTTTAGGACGTATCACCAAATTATTAGTGATTAATTTTTTTTTTATAAAAAAAAGAGCAAATACGCAGAAAGAAATTTTGAAAGGGATAGGGTTCTTCAGGACTTTGCCCCTTCGTAGGTACATACGATGGTGAAAAAATGGATATGGAAAAAATTAAAGAAAATGTTCAGAAAGTCGAAAAATTAGTACTTAAAAAAGTAGATCGAAGAATTAGGTTGTGGATTACAGATCAGCAAAGGATTTCCTGGAGAGATTTTGCATAAACATTTAAATATGAATGAAATTAGTGCGCGTTGGGTACTGCGAATGCTCACGCCGCTCGATAAGCAAAGACGATTGGAGCGATGTATAGATTTTTTGGATGATTTGTTTGAAATTTGCAGCCGCATTGTAACAGTTGATGATTGAGTTTTCTGGGATAATGAGAGAATATTATTAATTGAAAATAATAATAAGGCAACTACAACGATCGGCCAGTTTTACACAAATTTGCCAGGAGCGTGAGGAAGTTGTATAGAACAGACGTGGCAAGTTAACGAGCGTAGTGCTGTTTCTTTAAGACAATGTACCCGTTCACACCGCTCGAGTTGCTAAGGATGCCTAAAAAGCTATTAGATTTTCAGAAATTGATCATTCACCCTACAGTCCGGTCTTCGATCCCAAGGATTTCTTTCAGATTCAAAATAGCTGTTGCGGAGGCGAGGATTTTCAGACGACAGTGAGATGAAAGCAGCCGTAGAAAACCATTTTGAAGAGGAATCCAAAATTTAAATTGTATTTCACTTGAAGGAGACTATATTGAAAAATAAAAATTACATTTCTTGCGTTATGTACTTTAGGTCGCGAACTTATCAGCTGCCCTCGTATGAATCTAAGTTTTTATTGCTATTTTGGAAAGTAATTTCTTTTTCTATGAATAATTTTATGCCATTTAAATATGTATGTATGTATGTATTCTTGAATTTTTTAATCAAGGAATTGTTTTACATATACACATGTAAGTATGTACCTATATTTTATTTGTTTTAAAAGTAATAAAAGATATAAATTAAATTACAAGACATAGTATTAAAACATTTTACAGAAACAACATAATCTTCTGTTGGATAAGAAATCTTAACAGAAAAATGAAATGAAACCAAAATAATCAAAGTGTTTCGATTATTTTTTTGTATTCAATGTTCATGTCTACATACATACATAATTATATATTACACGCTAAAAATGTACCGCATTTATAATTGAGAGTCAACGATGAGAGTAAAATTCCCGATATTTGCTTAGAAACAAAAAAGATAACAGAGCTGAAAATTGAGTCACCAGCAGAGCCGGCAAAGCGCTGAATGAACAGTTTTGTTGCTGTCGTCGATGCAGAGAGTCGTTTTCGTTATTACAGCGGCAGTGCGAGTGAGGTGAGCGATCAACAGTAATTTTTTGGCGAATTTTTTTTTGGTAAGTAAAAAGATGCAGTTATGTGATGTTGGGCCATTATGCATTTGGACATTTGCTGAATAGCAACAAAAACAGTTTTTGGGGTCATCAGCAGCCGGCTGTAGCACCTTCTATGCTTCTAAGACGGGCAGTATTAAAAATACGCGTTCGGACGATTCGCGTCACTGTCTGCAGTTGGCCCTAGAACAGAGTGCAGTGCATTTTCATATGGTCAAAGGGTTTCCGATGCATTCAGCACATCAATAAATAGTGATTTGTATTTCCGAGCGCAAAGAACACAAAAAAAAAAAATTTTTTTTGGATTAAAAAAGTTTTGAGAAATTTTCTGTTTCGAAATAAACAAAATCTGTGTTCTCTGCAACGAAATCGAATTTTCGTTTCGTGTTTTCGTGTACGTCCGCACAATGTTTAATAAACTTGTGGGGCTAAAAGCCCTTTTGCTGTTCTTCACACTCAGTCTGCTGGTGCGAAGCGCACAAATGTCCGTAGATGCGGCAGTAACGTCGCCACCCATATTGCCTACTGTTGAGAATGCCAAAGAGCAATTAAAAGATCCTTCACAATCTACCAACCAGATGCAACAAGTGATGGCTGGTGTTGATGATAAGGATACCGATGCGGAAATGTCAGCCATGCTGAACGATGAAGGTGTCAGAACAGAAACCGGGACTGAAAGTAATAAGGATACAGACACAAAGACAGGGACTATGATGGACCAGAAGATGGAGCATAAGGAGAAGGACTGGTGGAAGCATATGACGCTCTATCAGATCTATCCCCGTTCGTTTATGGACAGCAATGGGGATGGCGTGGGCGACTTACAAGGTGAGTGTGGCTTTATCCCTAATATGAAATGCTAAATATAAAAAGAAAAAATATTCTATCCATTGCAGGCATAATTATGAAACTGCCCTATTTGGCTGAGACAGGCATTGAAGCCATTTGGTTGAGTCCAATCTACAAGTCTCCCATGGTAGATTTCGGTTATGACATAACTGATTTCAAAGAGATTCATACGGAATACGGTACAATGAAGGACTTGGAAATGTTGATAACGGAAGCGAAACGTTTAGGTAACTGTTAAGCTGGCCGCTGCCGTTATGTCTTGTACAGGTTTCGATTTACATTTTGTCTTGCATACTTTCAGGCATTAAAATGATCATGGACTTCGTGCCAAATCATACCTCGGACCAGAATATATGGTTTGAAAAGTCGGTTAGCAGGGAAGATGGCTATGAGGACTTCTACATGTGGGCCGATGCTAAAATGGATAAGGACGGCAAGAGGATGCCACCAAATAATTGGGTAAGTCAAATAATAAAATTGAACTCACAAAATTATAAGTTTCTGTTTTTTTACGAAGTTTTACTATTGTTGTAAATTTTATTTTGTACTCTGTCGTTACCCTCTTCTTTTTTCATTTTAAAGCAATCCGTCTTCTACGGCTCCGCATGGACATGGAATGAGAAGCGCGGCCAATATTATCTCCATCAATTCACTTCGGCGCAACCCGATTTGAACTTCCGCAACCCCAAAGTAGTGGAAGCTATGGATGAGGTCATGCGCTTTTGGTTAGATAAAGGCGTTAATGGTTTCCGCATCGATGCCATCAACCATCTCTTTGAAGATGCCGAGCTGCGCGATGAGCCGCTCACCGGCAAAACGGACGATAAACATTCCTATGAATATACCGAACATGTATACACTAAGGATTTGGTAAGACCGACAAATTCATTTAACCGTTAATTGTTAGTATCGAAAATCTATGTTTCCACACAGCCTGAAGTCATGAGCATGTTGCAACATTGGCGTAAATTAGTTGACGATTACACCATGAAACACGGCGGACCAGCACGCATTATCATGACCGAGGCTTACGCGGACCTGAAAACGATTATGGACTACTATGAGACCCACGATGGCAAGAAGGGTGCACACTTCCCATTCAACTTTAACCTAATTACCGATTTGAATGAGAAATCAGATGCACGTGACTATGTATTCGAAGTGCAGAAGTGGTTGATATATATGCCACGTGGTTACACTCCCAATTGGGTCATGGGCAATCATGATAATGTGCGTATGGCAACGCGTTTCGGGCCAAAGCGTGTTGATGCCATGCATATGATGTTGATGACGTTGCCTGGCGTGGCCGTCACATATAACGTAAGTGCATTGGAAATATATAGATTTTCTTCAACAGTTAGTGATTCTTTACTGCACAGGGCGAAGAGATTGGTATGCAGGATAATCGTGATATCACTTGGGAAGATACTGTCGATCCACCGGCACGCAATGTTGGACGTGAGAAATACAAGGAAGTGTCTCGTGATCCTGCGCGCACTCCATACCAATGGAATACTCAAAAGAATGCAGGTTTCTCCTCGGCCGAAAAACCATGGTTGCCTGTGCATCCCAACTATAAGCACTTGAATCTTAAGCAACAGATGTCACAACCGAGCCACTACTCGGTCTACAAATCGCTTGTTGAATTACGTAAAATGCCTGCGATGTGCAGAGGTCAATTCCGTGCTGAGGTCCTGAATCGCGATGTGTTTGCTTTCGAACGGTAAGACTTGGAAAAAACCGAAACGCCAGTTATATAAATCGTTTTTTTTTTCAAATGTCTTACAGGGAAGTTAAAGGCGACAATTCCGTCATAACTGTGATCAATATTGGGCCACGCGCGCGTGCCGTTAATCTAACTGAAGTGTTCGGCCTGAAGTACCAACAACAGCTGACAGTGTTGGTTGCGGGCTCCAAGTCCACGCATAGTACTGGGTAAGCAATGTTAATAAAAATAAATTTAATTTTACTCTTTTTATTTATTTCATGCTATTTACTATTGTTTTGTTATTTGAGTTTTGTTATTAGATTTATTTTTAATTTTTACTTTTTATTTAACTTAATTTTATATCTAATCTAATTTAGTTTAATGTAAATTAACTATAATTTTTCTTAACGCACTTCATTTATTTTATAGTAGGTGTATTTAATGATTGAATTCTCTTTTATTTTATTTGAATTTGGTTAATTTTTTATTTGTAAATTTAGATTTTTTTTATTTCTTCTTATTTACTTAATTTATTGTGCTTTGGTTTACTATTATTTATATATATTTTGTTTTAATTTGATTTTAGCTTATTTTTATTTCTAAAAAATTTTATTTATTTAATTATTTATTTATTTATTATATTTCTTTATTTAATTTTCTTTCGTATTGTCTATTTTATTTGTTGTTATTTATTTTATGTAATTTAGTTTTTTATCTTGTCCGTTTTATTCTATTTGGTTTTAGTTTGTATTATTTATTATTTATTATTCATTATTTATTATTTTTTATTTATTATTTATTATTTATTATTTATTATTTATTATTTATTATTTATTATTTATTATTTATTATTTATTATTTATTATAGTTTTTTATCTTGTCCGTTTTATTCTATTTGGTTTTAGTTTGTATTATTTATTATTTATTATTTATTATTTATTATTTATTATTTATTATTTATTATTTATTATTTATTATTTATTATTTATTATTTATTATTTATTATTTGAAAATGTAAACTTTTGTTTTTAATATTTGATTGTTGATTTTTATTTGAATCTTATAATATTCAAATTTTAATATTAAATTTTTAAATTGTTAATTTTAATTTTTGGTTACTAATTTTTAATAATTAGTTTAAATGTAAATTTTTAATATAGAGTTCTCAATATAACATTTTTAAATTATAAATTTTAAATTCAAATTTAATATTTTAATTTTAATTTTTACGTTCAAGTTTTTGATTTTTTTTTTTAAGTTTTTAAATTAAGTAATTTAAATTTAATTTTTATATATAAATTGTTATTATTCTATAAATTTTTTTATTTTAGGTTTTAGTTTTTAAATTTTAATTTTAAAATTTTATTAAATGTAAAATTGAGTTTTTAATATTTAATTCTCAATTTTAAAATTTTATTTTAATTTCTAGCTTAGAATTTTTGACTTTTGTTTTTTAAATTTTAACATTTAATAATTCCAATTTTATTTTTAATATTCAGTTTGTAAAACATATTTTTGAACTTTTAATATCTAATTTTTAATATTTAATTTTTATTACTTAATTAGTTTAGTTTTTAGTTTTTTATTTGATAATTCATATTTAAACTTTTTATTTTATTAGTTTAAATTCTTGTGAACAGCCTACTAACTCCTCTACCTTTTTTGTACTTACAGTAATGCCCTACCCGCTGACGCTTTGCCCCTGGCACCGTATGAAGGTCTCGTTTGCATGCTTGAGTGATGAACGCGGCAAATTTTTATATTGTTTTTGTGTATTATTTGTGATTTTTGCCATCGAAATTTTGTGTGTGTGTTTCGATTTTTAATAATTTAACAATGAGCCAAATAAAATTAAAATGAAAAATGGAAAAATATTTTTAATTTGTAAACTTGGTGGTAACTGCTTGGTAGATGAAATGTTAAAAAATTAACGGTTATCAAGTCGCCACTCCAAAATAAAAATTTAATTATTTACTAAATAAAATGGGGCACTATAATTGTAAAAAAGTCTCTCTTCACATCCATTCGACTACGGAGACGTAAATGCACTTTAAGTGTGGCTGAAAGGCTTGTCAGTTGGCCAAATTGTAGCGAGAAAAGGCAAAGCAAAATTTATCTGAGCTTTTCCAGTCTCTAACCGGCAGACTTTGTGGAGACAGCAGAGATAATTTTTCATTGGATTTTTGTTTTAGTTTTATTTTCATCATTCAAATGCAATTTTCCTTCTCCCTCTGCTCTTGAGTTCGATGAGCTGGCAAAGCACACACAAATCGGTTGCTGCCACAAAGTCGACGCCTGGCTACTAACTTATTCAAAGTTTTAAATGTTCTTGTATGCGAATTGAATGGTGATTAATTTGATGCATTCAGTTCTTTAGAACTTTTGTATTTTTTCCAATCATTTGCTTCGTTAAAGGTGTTTGATTACTGTCAATGGGGTTTTAATGATGCCATTTGTTGGTGTTGATGCTTACTGCAGCTGCTTGCAAGTGCTTGCATACATATTATATATGTATGTATGCTCGTAGTACATGTAAATTGCCTCAAAGTTATTGGCATGGTTTCGGTATTGAAGTGAGCTCAGCTCTCAATCCATTTTATGCTCCATTAGTGGCAGTGGATTCAGAAGAAGTGGTAATTTGTAAAAGATTGATGGAGTGTCTTTTCATTTCCACTGCTTTTGTTGCAGTGAGTAGGGAAGGAGTGGCACGGTAATACTTAACACATATATTTGAAAACGATTTTTTAAAACGAATCTTTTTTAATTTTTATCTAAAAGTTGTTATCGTTAATTACAGGGCCCGACCCATAGACTGCCTTTGTTTATTTTGCTCAACTTTTGTACTAATGCTGTAATGTAGAAGCTGAACCCCTACCTAGGCACATCAGGAAGAGAGTACTCGACTTAGAAACCTCCATCCAGCAAACTTGTACAACATCCGCTGGACAGAACGGCGTACAGACAAGCACTGAACGCCATTCACCAGGAGTCAGTCAACACCTTCAAAGACTCCCTTCCAGTGAATGGCGTGCTCAGAGTAAAACTATCACCTATCGCAGATAACGAGCTCGAGCTGCCTCGAGAGACCCGTGTGACCTTGGCACAACTTAGGTCTGGGTACTGTAGCAGGTTAAACTCTTACTTATCCAGACTCGACCTCAGCATATCCAAAGTACGCCCTGCTTGTGAAGAGTCTCCGCATGGCACTAACCACCTCTTCCCATGCCTCCTTAAACAGACCCATCTAAACACCCTCTCCTTTTGGTTCAATCCCGTCGAAACAGCTCGTTTCCTGGAACTCCTATTAGATGACCTCGGCGACGCAGATTAGTGAAACCTGTACCTAAGCGGGGCTAGCGAACCGCTACAACGACAACGATCTGACATATACTTTTATCCAAACTTAAGCTATTTTCTTTGAACTGTAGATATAATATAAGATCGATATCTAGTCCACTTCGTAGAAATTCAAGCAAACCGAATCTAGCTTCACTGTACGAAAATTACGGGCGCTATCTGCGAAATCCTCAAAACAGGCCTTTCACCCGCTGGGCGAAGAAGAACCGACTCGAATTCGATGTGAAAGTCGATGGCGTGAAAATTCCGTCAATTAATAACCCGAGGCCGTAACTAGGCACAACAGAACGGGAGCACTTGACTATTGAAACAGGCTCTGAACGGTATTCAACCAGAATAGGTTAACGCCTTCTTGAAATCTCTTCCAACGGACAAGTCGTTTCCTGGATGACTTAAACTGTTCTTCACTGCTCTTAACCGGTGTTAGATGACCGTTACATATCTCAGGTCCACTTACCGGAAGGTAAAGTAGTCTACTTCTTAATCAAGGGGAGACATCTGTGAACCGGATTTCAAGAGCATCGCAAAATAAATATTCAAATTATACAGAAAGCGCGGCGACCGCGTGGTTAGCTTTGCATACTGCCAATCGCAGGGCCAGGGTTCAAAATCTGGTGCGACCAATATTCAAAAGTTATAGAAAACTAATTTAAATATAAAATGAGGTTAAACTTTCTAATTGCAGTCGCCCCTGGGCAGGGAATGGAACGCATACCACAAGTTGGAGGAGGCGGTTACAAAGCGCCAATGATACATATATATATATATATACATAAACCCTATGCAAGTTTCAAATGCAATCATGAAAATTTCAACAATTTTGCCTCGTCATTTTCTATTTTTATTAAAAATTATATAAACTTAATTAAATTCTAAAAAATTCGCAAAATTTCTTTTATTTATATTTAGCACTTTTGATTAAAAAAAATCTTTAACATTCTTTTGATTTGATTTATTCCTGTATAGATATGTACTAGGTGGTTACCTTACTGAAAAAAATATATATTTTAAATTGTGTTATCAAAATTTTGCATTCATTTTATGTGAATTAATATTTTCAATTAGATGGCAACATTTTTTTCAAAAATTCGTTTATATAAATCGTACCTAAATCTATCAAAACTACGAAATGCAATGCAAAAAGTATTATCAGTTTAATTAAAAGAAAACTTCAAATTGGTGGCAGCACTGCTAAAAAGAATTTTTTTGTTGCCATGAAGTCTTTTAAAAATTTTAATTGATACCAAAATTATAAAATCTTTTGCCTTAGGTCTTTGCATCAAAGTTTTTGAACTAGTGGCAACCTTCGCTTTAAATTGAAATTTGAGTTTCTCTTTTTTATATGAGTTTTATCCAACATCCTCCTGCCTCTTTCCAAACCAGAATTACATACTCATTTATACAGTCATCACCATTACCGTAAGACTCCGCGGATGTGCATCTGCCGGAAAGTAAAATTAATTAAAGAAATCCACACACACACAGGCAGAAGCTTAAAATATTTCAATTAAATAATTTAACTTTGCAAAGAAATTTCATTTACTCTATCAAAATTTCTTCCTTTACACAGCGTACGCATGAGCTGCAACGCCACATTTCTGTTAGACGCTTACGAGGGCATTGTTTTTGACACTAAAACACCTGCGGCTGAGGTCAACACGGCAATGGCGTGAGTACTTGGCGTAGTAAAGAGTGGAGGGGGCATAAAAAACAGAAATTTATAAAAAAGTTTTAATTCGATTGCTTCCAAACAAACAAATGCCAAAAAAGATGATTTTAATCACAACTTTTTTTCACACAGCTACAGACGTACCGTTATCAGATTGTTAATTAAATCGTTGAGCATAATTTTGGTCGCATTACTGGTACATCAGTCATCGACAAAAAAATGGACTCAGCTGCGTTGCTGGAATCGCATTGACAGGCGAAATAATGAGGGCAGATTGCGTGGGTAAAAAAAATGGGGATTTTATTTTTTTTCAGGTCGTTGTTGTTGCTAAATGTATTAAGTTGTTAATGATAAACTTTAATTTAATTTTACGCTATTTTGATTTGATAATAAATTTCATTTTTGGGCAAGATAATAAAATACAGATCGCTTTTGTTATGTTTAGTTATAAGGTTGTATGTATGTTTGCAAAAATGTGTACTTTAGTATTTCCTTTTTTTTTACAAAATTCCATTACAAAAGTTAAGTGTTTTAGACTGCTTTATAAGAAAAAAAACGCCGGCTCATGCTACATAAAGATACGGTGAATGGGAATCGCTATGGAGCCATGATTAATGACGTTTTCGTGCCTGAGTTGTGCGATAATGATGTGGAGGACCTTTGGTTCCAACAACACGATAACATATGCGGTCATTTGATCGAAATCGTTTTCAAAATATAATGGCTTGTCTTTATAATAAAGATAAATTCTTGGCCATAACAGTAAACTTCACGTATATTCGTTTCATTTTTCTTCAAAGACGCAATTTTGTTAGAAAGGCAATTAATGGTTTTTTATAAAAATATGTGTGTGTATATATAATATATATTTATAAATATATGCGTGTATATGTATTGAAAATAAGTTAACAACAAAAGTTTTTGTTTAAAAGAACTCTGCCGCATTCATAATTCATTGGCGAAGGTTCAAATCAGTTTAGTGTTCATTTGACAAAAGACAATTAGGCAATTCAGTCGGTAAATCACACCTTTCATTTCAGCGAATGTTGAGTAAAAGTTTTATTATTTATAATTTGTTTTTTTTTTCTCAAGAATTCTCTGTATTTTTTTATTTTCGTAGTCTTTGTTAGTTTGCTCTTAATAAAATTACGCTGACAATGACAAATTTAATTAAATAAACAAATCGGAGGAAAAAGATTTCGTTGTACTAACTGAGATATGTTTCATTTAGGTTTGAGTTTCCCCCTTCTTTTCAAGTGCAGGAATGTAGTAAAGAATTTATTTGTGAGCAATTACCTTTGGAAGGGATACATATATCTATATATATGTATATACTAGCGTAGTTGCAAATCATGCTTACCTGAAATGAAAAGGAAATTATATTGGATTAGTACAAATTTCAAATTTCAAGAAAATATGAGCTAACATATTTATACAGAAATTTGTCTGTATACAAAAGGCAATCTTAAATGTTAGTTGTTGTATTTGCAAAATAATTAAATTTCATTTTTGATTTGCTATTCTGCTAATCTTATATAGCTAGGTAAAATGAGGCTGAACTTCTTTAGGATTACAAAGGAGTTTTCAGAGCTATTCGATACCAAAGAAGGTTACAGACAGGATGACTTTTAATCATGTGATTTCTTTATAAGGTCAAAGAAAATAGTGAGAACCGCTGAGCTTAATATAGAAGCTACAATATTCTACAAAATTTTAGAATTTTTAGCATATATGCCTATCACATCACAGTTATCGGCCCCAACAGCGACATTTTTAGTTTGGTTTTCTCAATACTGAAGAGGGGAAACGTGATAGGTTTGGTAGTGAACGGGGTCTAATTGAAATATCACTTGCCTTAAAACAAAAAAAAAAAAAAAAAAAAAAAAAAAAAAACAATCATAACTGTGTAGCATTGACGATTATGACTTTTGATGATTTAACGATTTAAGTTTCTGTGAGCATAATAATTATAGTCTCTGTTCACATTTAATGATGAACTTAATATTTCTCCTCATCTGTGAATAATTTCTTCGTAGCCTACTTTCAGGCGCTATAATTATTTAACTTTATTTCTCCGTTATTAATTTGTCGTTCCATTATTTTTCGCCTACACTGTCAAAACTAGCCAAATCAATTTAAAGTCCATTCAATTCAAAAATAATTAAATTCACTTTTAGTTATTATTTTCATTTAATTAAATTCTTGAAAAGAGACAAAAGTGACATTCTTGCCATTCACAGTGGTCCTTGCGCGAACCAACATATCACTTTAGAAACCAAAACAAATGCTCCTTGCGCTTATACATGTGGTATGGAGTGACTCTTCTTCTTTTCTTCACATTTTTCTCGTGATAATAATTTTTCGTTGATGGCAGAAGCTTCAATATCTATCAGCAAATTCCATTTAAAGCATTAAAAACAGTAATGTTGTTAAGACAAAAATAACAGTGGAGTAAGAAACAAAAACAAATTGCAGCAAAAACTCTTCACTGCATTCAAAAATTCGCACACATATATACGCTTGTCTGTGTGTGCACAAAGACGTTTGGGTAAATGAAATTATTTGTTTGCAGGAAAATGGCGTTGCGCTGAGATGGCGATGAGTTGTAAGAATTCTTCTGACTGCTGCTGCTGCAGTAAATGTGGAGGAATGAAATATTGCACATTTTATTGATAGTGATTATGGGGAAATGGTGAATGTTAAAAATAGATAAACGCAAACATATAAATATGTATACCCCTTGTACATAAGTACGGTTAAATGCATGTGAGTAGTCGCTAGATGAACCTTCGCTTGCGTTCAAGGAAGTTCTTTTTCCTTTTTTGCAGAAAACGCTAAGCACGGGAATGCTTCACTGAAAGCATGCGCACACTCACGCTCTGGTGCATTGACAGCTGCCGCCAACTATTATTCACATTTATTAACTTCACTCTTCACTTTGGAAAAAATAGTTTTAAGTGTGCAACAAAAGCTGACAAAGAAAACTATTTTTCTTTCAAACTGTATTGAGTTGGCGAAGAGTCTTAAGTAAAACAGAGGAAACAAAGAGAAAAATTGGAGAAAAGAATATGGAAAATAAAAATAAAATTAAAATAGGAAAAAGTTCTGCGCTAAGCTTTGTAAAAACTGTATACCCCTCACCTCATAGCTGCAAAAATGTGGGAGTAGAATGTACAGTTCAAGTTCTTTTAGCATATTGATTGTGAGAGCTTATGGTGAGTATATAAGTTCGGCTACCTCGGCTGGTTGTCATGCAATATGCATATAGACCTGCTCGTCCTTTGTAAAGCCAGTTGGATTGTCAATTCAGTTCACGCTGAAGCAGTCGTCATACAGAATGTCAACACTTCTTGCAAAGTTTAAGAGAGCCTGGATACCTGATTTCATTTCATGTAGTGTCTGTGGTTGTCGGAGTTAGTGGCTCCGAGAAGACGAGTTCTAGATAAGGTCGAACAGAAGTAGAGGAGGTGTTTCAGCATCTTCACCTTTGCAGTTCCTACATGTGTCTTCGTTACTGATGTCCATTCGGCATTGGTTTTGACTTGTCATTAGTTTGCCCATCGGGGCAAGCCACAACAAAAACAAAATAGCGAAGAAGCCTTCACAATTAACGAAGGCGAATTTGAAACGGAAAATGAGCTTTATGTTCACAGGTGGCGATTAAAGCTCTGCGTACGAAAATCAAAGTAATATTTGTGGCCGGGTCTTTTTTTCTACTCTTCAAGCACTAACTGTGAAGAGCCGCGGGATTGGAAATCAGTCTTTCGGTAAGACATCGCACCCTAAACGTAGGATGTTATGGCGTCAATAACGCAATGGCTTACCTCGCACGAGTCACAGGCACTTGTAAGGTGACTTCTCCGTCCCATAACTACTATTGTCTACACCACGGTGATAAAAACTCAACTGACGAATATGGACTTATTAGTATGTTCTTGAACCCCTATCGCGCCGGGATAACCCCATACAATTTTCGCATTCTAGAGGGGCATAAACAGAAGTCCAACTAGAATTTCGTGAGGTGGCTGATCTTGCTGGCGTCCGTGGTGAATTTCAATCACGTATGCGATTTTATCACGTCTCAGCGCCATCATGCCGTAAGTCACTTATACGCATAAATATCCGGAGGGGCCAGTGCGGGTGTTGAGCGGAATGTGGCAACAAACAGTTGTAGAGAAGTGTGCCGATGTAGCATAAATACATATCGTATGTATGTGTGGGTCTTTGTGCACGTTTGTTTGAGTATGCACGTGTATTTTGGAAAATTAATTGGCCACTGTTGGCGATGCACTCGAGCGTGGCATGGTGAAAATTGCATTTGTGGCACAAAAGGGTGCGCAACTAGCAGACTAAAATTATTGCTCGACAACAACAACAACTACAAAACAAACAGCAGCAATACTAAGCGCAAAGCATGCGTGACGTAGTGACGTGTAATAAGTACATATATGTATATGTGCACATAGTTTGTGTTGTCTTTTGCCAGCCCGTGCGCAGTTGACATTTTGCCATGCTGTCGGTCACTTGACAATTGAGTTCATGCAGCTTTGTCAATGTTGCAAGCAGCCGTTGGGCGATATATATTTCAGAGCTCAAAAATATTTCTCCAGCATTATATAAGCCATTTGTTACAATATGTTTCATGTAACACTTTGTTGTTGTTGTTGGTCTCGAATTTCTGCGCTGGTTGGTTTTGGTAAGTCTCGGTGCCTTGTTGCAGGTTAAATAAATACACAAATGCAACAACATGCGTCAAGCCACTCTCGATGCTTTCGAGTGTTAGCAATTTAGTTGCTGCAACCTCTTGTGTTGTCGTTGTTGGCGTTAATGACGTTGCTGGGGTTGTGATGAGCGTGCAGCGTCTGTTGGTGATTGCTGTTGATGTTAGTTAGTTGCTGTTGTTGTGTTGTTATTTGTCACCGTTTGTGTATAAGAGAAATAATTACTATTTTTCCACTACTTAAGCCTCATTTATTTAATTCTGGAAGCAGAAAACACATGAGCAAATTTTCTAAATATTTTTAATTGTTTATATTTTTTTTTGTGTTGACAAAACGGATGCGTTACAGTTCACAAGAAGGTACAAAATAAGCGTATGAAGATCCCAAACAACAAAAAACTGACCAAATCCCTCGGAGCAATTGTGGACAGCAAACTTATGTGGAAGCTAAATGTAGAAGAAAGCTTGAACAAAACCAGATAAATTTCATATATATATATATTTATATTATATATATATATATATATATATATATATATATATATATACATATATACATCTAACATGTATATAATTTTCGTCTTGTAACCACTGTAGC